GAGAGCCGCGAGCTGGAGAAGGACATGCACTACTACCAGTCGTGCTTGGAGGCGATCCTGCAGAACTCTCCTGATGCCAAGATCTTCTGCCTCGTGCACAAGATGGACCTGGTGCAGGAGGATCAGCGGGATTTGGTGAGAAGCTGGTAGTTGCCATAGAAATTCTGCCAAGGAAATAGAGCATTTTGTGGTTGTGCTGAAGCACTACTGCTTAGTACCTGAAGGGCAGCCCCATCAGTACTATTTCTAGAACGGCTTCTCATACATTAAGAAATTCTCAAAGCCTGAGTGTGTGGGGTTTTTTTGTTTGTTTGTTTTGTTTTTGTTTTCTCCTGCCTTTTGTAAACTTCATGTCACTCCTCATCTTCTATATATAATATAATGAGGAATAGAATTGATTTAGTTTAGGAACTAGTTTAAGCCTTATCTTTGATAGCACTAGTTCTGATGTTTTGGCCAGACCTTGGCTGCAGAGGGCAGGGAAAGAAGGTAGAATTGCAAGAAATGCAGCAAACAAACTGGCCTACTGACTTTTGGGTGTCTTCAAGGATTTTGACAGTTAGAATCAACTTCTTTTTAGCTGATACACTTTATGACAGGACCCAAACTAGACTGAAAGTAACAAAAGTGTGTCATTTTTCTGTGTTTACTGGAAAGTGGCTTGCATTGTTTGATTCCTCTGGTTTCTGTTGCAATGCCTTTTGTTTGGCCTGCCTTCCCAGAGATCACCTCCTAATTTAACACTCCCCTGCTCCAAGAGCTCAGTGCAAATCCTGCAAAGTGCCCAGGGAATCAGCCTCTCAGCAGCATTCTGTATTTTGTGCACTTTGCCAAGCCTTTGAAAGGTTGGAGGGAGACTGAATTTTTACCAAATTCATTTTTCATCTCTGACTGCAAAGCAACCAACTCCCGATACCAAAGGAGAAGTTAATTCTGTGGGTTAGACACCTGTGTTTGACAAGTGCATTCCTGACGGATTGGACTCCCTGTGCAGACGGGCTCATTCCACGGCAGATTGGCTCAGACCACAAGTGATCACTCTGAGTGAGGTGATCCTCACTTTCTCTTTTGATTCTGCCCTCCAACTCAACAGAAAGAATAGATCAAAGAACTTCCTTGTAGGGGCTAGTTGGAGAACATTTTACTTTTTTATATCTCTTCCCTCCAAGCTGAGAATAGGAGTTGCAATCTCCCTGAAGCTCCTAATTAAAACCTTGCACTGTCCTGTGCACTCACTTGTGTGAATTCTAGTGAGGCCCTGCAATGAGGGGTAGACAGAAGAACTGCCTTGCTCTGCATATTCCTTCTGCACATACCACTGCAGACCCATCAAGATCTGTTTTATGGCGCCTGCTACTTGGAACAGCCAGCAAATACTCTTGAATTGGGCCAAACAATTATCCCTGTAAATCCTACTGAACCCTTTGGCATCTGAGGCCTCAGCTGGTTGGCGCTGGCCTATGCAGCCTTTGAGACATAACAGAATTACATTGTCATGTGTCTAAAAACACTAAGCCATGATCAAAACTGTGGTCACATCTTCAGCAGAGGGCACGATGATGTCTCTCTGGCTACCCCTTTACCAGTTCTGTAGGGGCACGTGCTGTCTTCCCTTTTTTGCTTGAGACTGTGACTTCCAAGGGCAGAGTTTGCTGTGAGAGGGCTGTATCAAAGTACATGCCTTGCAACATCATTATTATGCAATCATATCCTGTAGTGATGAACTTCTCTAGTGCTTCTCTCCTGACTTGTTCTCATTGACAAGTTTTTGCCTGTGAACAGGGACTTCCAAGCTCCCGTGTTGCGATTATATATTAAATATAAATAATTGTCACAGTTTGGATCCTCTGTGGAAACTCCTCCTTCCTGTCTCCGTTCCCACTCCATGACGCCCAAAATCCTGTCAGCTTTATTGCAACGCAAGCACTGTTTGCTTGTCCCTGCTGCCTGGAGGGGTGGAGTTCTGCCAGTACATCCTAGTTCGTGGTTGCTGCTGCTGTCTCTTTTCCTGTCTGTATGTGCCTGAGTGGTTTTATTTAATTTTGAAATGCATGGTTCCTGCTACAAACATGATACAGAAATGCACCAAAGACATAAATATTTATAGTTGGATGGTATTTTTTTCCTCTACCAGATTTTTAAAGAGCGGGAAGAAGACCTAAGACGCCTTTCTCGCCCCTTGGAATGTGCTTGTTTTAGAACTTCTATCTGGGATGAAACACTTTACAAGGTCTGTACAGTGTCCTTCCTCTATCTGGCTGCCCACTCACTTGAAAATCAGTGTGTGAGCCAGGTGTGTGGTTAGTTGCTACAGGCTTATTAGTGACTGACCCTTTCTAGCTCTGCAGTGAAACTGCTTGTGGAGGTTCCCTCTTGTTAATGTATCCCCAAATCCTGATTTCATTAAAAGAAAGAAAATCTGTCAACATGTTAGTGTCATGGCTAATGGTGTCACTGGTTAGTGCAGTAGACATTGCCTAGCCACTTCAGAAAGAGCTTCTGCATCTTTTAGTCATGTTTAGCCAGCACAGAATTGCTTCCTGTTTTTCTCTACAACTTTGTTAAAGTGCTTAAGCATTTAACATTCTGGGGGTTTGCTTGTTGTCAAGATTTTTTTCTTACTTTGTTGTATGTGGCTGCTATCTCGGATCCTTCTGGTGCAGGAATAGATTGCCACGTGGGCTACACTGAGAAAGTGATCATCAAATTGCCAGTTAGCACTAATAAGCAGCATCAGCAGCATAATAGTTAGGTTGCTGTCTGAAGGTGAGGAGCATCTGGCTCTTTGTGCTGATTTCAGGGAGACTTCAGATGAGTGTTCAACATCTCGAATAATCCAGCCAAAGTGTAGCAAATTCCCCTGCCTTCAGTATGTGATGAGCTCGAATGAAGCTGGTCCAGAGAACTTAGGCCGAGCATTGCTCTGCCCAAAGCATGTGCCCTATTCCCTGTAGGTGACTAGTGGCCTCTGAAAGCAGTGGCATACCCAGGCTTCTTACAGGAATCCCTGAAGCTGCTCAGTGATGCTGGTTGCTTTATTTGGGCTTCTTGTATGGAAGCAGACTCGTGCTAATCCAGGTGCCACTGCCAGAGCTCTTCGGAGCTTGTGCCATTGGGTTGGGCCTAACTCTGCATTATGCAGCCAAGATGGTAGGAATCTTGCATTAAAAACATCAGGTACTTGGCAAATATGAGAAATAAATGCTCACTGTGGCCCTTGGAGTGAAGCACG